CCGCCCCCCCCCCGCCCCCCCCCCCCCCCCCCCCCCCCCCCCCCCCCCCCCCCCCCCCCCCCCCCCCCCCCCCCCCCCCCCCCCCCGGATAAGCAATGGTCGGAGATACAGACCAGACAGCTGCGCTGGGCATCTTCCTCTTCCCCTCATCGGCCTCCCAAATGTCATAGGGATCGATATAGTCCGACAGCGCCTCGTCGACGAACACGGCTCCATCTCCCAACACCAACGTGAACTCCTGGAGCGCCTGGGCGAAGTCTTCCTTCCGCACGCCAGGTGGTAAAACCGATTTTACCGGGCACTTCTTGGGCGGAGAGAAGGTGTCCCGATGAGCCTTCTCATACTCGGGATCGGCATATTTGACTGGTAGCGTGGATGTCATGGTGTTCGTCTAATTGAAGTCTCAACCCTCAAACGCTAAGGACTAGGGGATCGGGGAGTAGAGAGCACTCGGAGAAGCAAGTGTTGGGGGGAGGGAGGTGAATTCCCCATGACATTTGTCGCGGTCAAATAGGTGGGATAAGCAGGCCTCAGGTCCATTCTCGATCTCAGCTGCCGGCATGAAATGTTGGGGTAGAGGAGGAGTGGCTTCGGGATCCATTGTACGGCCCCGCACCCACTACGATGATATCGACTGTAGCAGCCCCCCTCTTCAAGGGTAGCGGGGGTTCCCCAATGGATGCTTCTTGGCCGCGGGCATCATAGGAGGGAGGAGATATGAACTGTCGTGAGGGGAAAGGTAAATGCAAGCGGAGAGCCCCTCAATGGGTAGGAGAGAATCTGACAGTATGGTCAGCAGAATCAGGCCAACCCGGCATGACTCCATCCAGAGGGAGATGCCATATTTAATTGTGAATTATACATGTCAGAAGTCCTATTTTGCCTGGTTTTACCATAGGGTTGGTTGGTCGCTCTCTTTAGTAAACCTTTCATGGAAGCGGACGCCTTAGATAGAATCCTTTTTGGAATGTTGCGAGTTTAGACCCCAGCCGCCCAGGTATCGGACTCCCCACATCCCCCACATTCCCCACATTCCCCACATCCCCCATCGATAATTAGGGCTTAGCTGCAGGAGACATGACAAGTCAAGTTGCAAGCACTTTTCGAGTACAGTTCAAGAGGGTGGCCAGAATCTTTACGGGCAGCTTTCCCCACATCCCGGACGCCAATGGATCCAATGGTAGACAGCGTCGAGCTATGATAGCGGATATGCATGCCCGAACAACAGAACGGCCCCCGCTTTGTCTCCACGTCTAACTGAGCTCGGGCGCACCGAGGCAAGGTGCGACAGAGAACGGACATGAGATGAATCCCGCAAACTCGGCAGAAGTCGGGGTAGTATAGACCCATCGTGTTCCTTGAACTCAACGGCAACTACTGATTTTCCCAACCCCTTTATCATGGTGGTTTCCTCTCGTGGACCCTTTCAAAGCAGGGGTCTACAGCCGCGGTTCCGTAACGTACGGCTCCTGTCTCCAGTTATATCTGATGACCGGTGCGCATGATACACAGGTGGCCCCAACCATCCCATGAGCCCAAAACCAATTGGTGAAAACGTCGTTATGCCGACTACCTGCTCTCTCTGACTGACCTGGCATTTTTCTCCTGATTGTCCGTCGTCTTGTCTTTCGCCCCCTTGAGTTTGCTGACATTCGACTAATCCACCCATCGTCGAGCTGCCTCATCGTCCCCAAGATTCGCTGCTCTTTCGATCTGACTATCAAATGCTACTCAACCATGACGACCTTTTGGAAATGGACATCCACATGGACAAGGCAACTGGCAGCATCACTCTGGTATTGTCGACTGGGCCAACGCCAAGATTGCCCCGTTCGGCACGTCGCTTGCGGGGCTTGAAACCATTCTTGGCGTTCGGACATCGTCGTGTTGGCTCTTCCATCCGAGCCATGAATATCTCTGGGCGCAGTTTTGGAAGACTTTCTACGGGGTCAGTGGGCATCTTTCGGATGATGAGCGGCGAGCAATGGAGGTTGGAAGGATATTCGGCTTATTCCGAACCTACGGCTTCGACCGTTGGCCTGAGAAGGAGAAAGCGGTGCCTCTAGACAAAGGAGACCAGGAACTCGTATCCCTCGAGGCATTCTTCCTGCGTTAAGCCAGTCCACCGTTTATCTTATGGTCGTAGAAGGATAGACCAGTGATATAGGTAATTTCCAGCAAGTAAATCGATAAATGGTCGTGCTAAAGCCCGCTTCCGGTTAGCGTGGCTGACTGCCCAGGTATTATTATTGGACCATGTCTAACAGTGAGAGAAAGACAGGCACTTGTGCAGAGGTACGGAATACTCATACTCAAACCACAAGTACCTACTCAGATGTACCGATAAAACCGGCAAAAGCCATTGCAACATACCTCAAACTGGGCCACAGATATTTTTCATCTGTACCGATGCCGGTCCTCCGGCCCCAGACGCGAAAACGCAACCCCACAACGCGCGACGCGTCTCCGACGACCCTCGACGACATCCCCGAACCACCCACGGAGCCGCCTCGGAAGAGACGCAAGCCCGGATCCACCGCACACTCCGAACGCTACGCGCAATGGCGGGAAAGCCTCCTCCTCCCCGCTGCCGTCAATGACCACGACAACGACAACACCCCGGCGTTATCGCCCGGCCGACATGCCCACTCCATTGGCTACCACCGGCCCCTGCTGCTCCACCGGGGCGCAGGCGACCGCGCACGGGAAGCGCTCCTCTCGTGGTTCGACGGCGTCCGCGGGTCGCGGCCCATGCCCTGGCGCAAGGACTGGGTCGACCCCGGCGCGGAACCCGACCCGGACGCTCGGCGGCGGGCTCTGGAGCAGCGCGCGTACGAGGTATGGATCAGCGAGGTGATGCTGCAGCAGACGCGGGTGGCGGTGGTGGCCGACTACTGGACGCGGTGGATGGCGCGGTGGCCGCGCATCGAGGACCTCGCCGGCGCCGGGGCCGACGACGTCCTGGCCGCGTGGCGCGGGCTGGGCTACTACAGCCGGGCGACGCGGATCCACGACGCCGCGCGCCTGGTCGTGCGGGACCCGGACATGCGCGGCTTGCTCCCCGCCGAGACCGCGGAGCTCGAGAAAAGGGTCCCCGGCGTCGGCAGATACACTGCGGGGGCTATCTCCGCCATTGTGTTTGGCCGCGCTGCGCCCATGGTCGATGGGAATGTCGTGCGTGTTCTGACCCGGCAGTTGGGGATATTCGGCAGCGCCAAGACGAACAAGAGCGTCTCCGACGCAATCTGGGATGTTGCCGACGCCCTCGTCCGGACCGTCGCCCAGGACCCGTCCCAAGATGTCGCCGGAGATGGCGAGGCACCGGTCAGCGACCGGCCAGGCAGATGGGGCCAGGCTCTGATGGAGCTGGGGAGCACTATCTGCACCCCCAAGCCGGACTGTTCACGGTGTCCCATCACATCGACTTGCCGCGCATATGCCGAGGGTCTTTCGATCGCAGACGGGCCTGCTCGCACCAATGGCACCGGTGCCACTACTCTTGTAGACATCGAGGATTTGTGTCAGCTCTGCGAGCCGTTTGATGAAGACGCGGTGCCTGGGGGTATCAATGATTGCGATGACTTGGCGCAAACTGCTACTCGAGCAGACGACAAGCCCAGCCGTTCAAGACGCGCGAAGGTTACCCAGACAGTCAACATCAGCAATGGCGAGAAAGCTTCCACGGAGTCTCCCCCAAGTGCGGATACCATGGCGGTAATCGTCGACCACGCGAGGAAGTTCCCCCCCAAAGCCATCAAGAAAGCCGTCCGAGAGGAGGAATGCCTGGTCTGCGCAATCCTCCGAAGCGACGGCCAATACCTAATTCACCGCCGACCAAGCAAGGGTCTCCTTGCGGGGCTCTGGGAACTCCCAAGCCATACGCTCCCGGCTTCAAATCAGAGCACGGCGCAATCAAGGAAGCGAGGTGCCGCGGCCTACGTGGCCGGTCTGTTCCCCGACTGTGCTGAGAAATCCCAGAGGCAGAAACGGCCACGCCTGAAACATTGCGGTGAGCTTGGGAGCGTGCCGTGGCTGTTCTCGCATCTTAAGCTGACGATGCACGTCCATCTCTTCACCTTGGACCATCGTGCCGACCAGTCAATAATCATGGCCCGGGCGGATCAGCTACATCGATGGGCGTCGGACGGGGAGGTCGATGGAGAATCCATGGGCACAGGCATGCGAAAATGCTGGGCACTTGTGAGGGATTGTGATACTGCACAGTGAGACGACCATGTGTGAGAAATACATGTACATACAATCTGCAAGTGTGAAGAGTGCAGGCTCGACGACGGGAAGTTCTAGCCATGGGGTACGGTGGTTCATGGAGCGAAACCGCTGGCTGGGTCCGATTGACACGATAGACCATAGACCATAGACGAAGATGAACAGATGAACAACTCGTAGAGATATCCATTGTTGGGCAAAATATGGTGCCCATTCTCTTACAGAAGCTCTTACAATTTCCACCTTTTGAAAACAGCATTACTGAAGCCATTCCTGTGACTTCAGCGGATATCCCCCCTAAATAACGCCGTCCCAGTATCATAGCGACTGAGCCAGGACTTGATAAACCGACAACCTGACAGGGTGGTCAGCACCTGCTGAGACTTTCCCAACATCGTCCTCCCCTAGCATCCCTCGCCAGTCTTAGACAGGCGTCACCTCTTCCGCCGCCCTCCCCGCCGCCTTCTCCAACAGAATCCCAAGCAGATCCACCACAGCCCCCATCCGACGCTCCACCGACATCGCCGCATCACCGCCCCTCTCGGGCGCAAAGATTTTGACCCTGCCTTCGGACATGACGAACCCCCCGCACGCGATCCTCGTGACCCTCACCCGCGGATCAAACAGGTTAAGCGCGAGGTGTCGATCGAGGTACCACCCAAGCGCCTCCACGAACGGCTGTCCCGCCCCCGTCCGCCCGCCACCACCATCCCCACCCCGTCGCCACTCCCATCCCTCCTCGTACAGCCTCCCCGCAAGCCTCCTCCGCTTCGCCGGGTCCTCCTCCCAGCCGGCCTTGCGCCTGGATGCTTCACGAGCCGGCTCCCCGGCTACTCTCTCGCCCGCCGAGCAGAAGCGGTCCAGCTCCGCCGCCGAGACGATGACGTCCACGGCCCTGAGGCCCAGTCCCGCCCGGCCCGCCTCGGCGGCCTCGTCCTTACCCATATCCCCAGCTTCCACCACTGGCGCCGAGAATCCCAGTCCAAGCACGACATCCTTATCCACCACCCCGCCCGCCGACGCCCCCATCCACCGCTCCAGGCCCGCAACCAAGCTCCTCGTGCCCAGGCGCAGCGGGCTAACCCGGCAGTCAAACGTGGTACAGAGGAAGTCAATCACAACAGGCCTAAGCAGCGCAGGCATGCGCATCAACAGCAGCGGCATCTCGACAAACGGGCCAGCATACCCATCCGCAGCGCCGGCAGCAGCGGCGCCATCCCCCTCCACCCCGAGCGCCGGCAGCAGCAAAGCCGTACACAGCGAATTCTCATACCGCAGCTCCACATGCAGCGCCCTCGCGCGTGCAAGCCGCCCGAGTCCATGCCCATGCCAGCCCACCACCTCCGCCTCCCTCGCATCATTCCCCAACTCCCGACTAGGCGACCTCCTCCTCCTCCCGCCCCCGGCGCCGTCGGTATCCGCATCGTCGTCGAGGCCGCCGCCCAACACCGCCCCAACCGCGACCCAGCGGATATCGACGAGCTCCAGCGCGCCGGCGCGGGGCATTGCCGCCGCCGCATCGTCGTCGCCGGCGCCTTCGAGACCGACCTCGACGCCGCGGACGACGTCGCCGACGACGACGTCTCGGAGGCGGTTGGCGAGGGCGCGGAGGCGGGCGGCCGTGAGCGGGTTGGCGCCGAGGTGGAGCGGGGAGACGCGGTGGGTTGTGAATGTGGTGTTGTAGAAGGGGGGCGGGGGCGGGGAGGATGCGAAGGATGAGGAGGAGGAGGCGGTGGGTTGGGAGTTATCGGATGGGGCGGGGGAGTCAGGTCTCGGTCGGCGGGTGCGGCCGGTTGAGAAACGCTTGCGGCGGCCGCGGCGAGCCATTGTGGGTGTTTTCTGGGCTTTTGATTCTAAGGTTGTGCTGGCTGTTGGAGGTCGATCTTGGTGGGGGCGTGAAGCTTGCAGTTGGAGGAGGTTGAAGTTTGACGCGTCGTTGTTGGCTAATTAGCGAATCTTAGTGGCAATTTGTCTCGCTATATCCCAGAAGGAGTAGAAATACGCGTCGTACGATATCTTTTAAATCGTCAAACGTTGGTAATGTCTTGAAGTAGGCGGGGGGTGTTTGCTGCTCGATCTTGTGGTCGGATTGTTGTCGCGAATCGGGAACAGGGGTGATAGCGGTGATCCACCAGCGGCGGATCCACTAAATAAGCTACCAGGCTACCTGCCGCCACCAGCACCAACCCCCTTATCCACGCCATACGGAGATATCCAAATACCCAGGTAGCTTTTGAACGATGGGAACTCTCTAGCTAGGAATGCAGGATCTTATAGCCGCCCTATGCTTCCAAATAGGTGCCCACAACTTGAGCTGACATCCCAAGGCTTGGTTGGTCACTCCTCCCACTAGGAGGGAAGTAAGCAACCCCTATTCCCTTCCAACCCCTGGCCAAAACCGCCCTGATCGAGACTCCAAAGGAGGATTGTATAGTTGATGATATTTCATTTTCTCATGATAAAGCCCAACCCCGCCTTTCCACGGGCTACTTGACCACCCCAACGCCAAGCAATGCATACAACCAAGAACAACAAAAGAAGACACGTCCGGCAGGGGAGACGTCTCCCACTCTACTCCACACCCCCCGCCGCGTACAAGCCCTCCCACCTCTCCTCAACCCCGCTGACGCGCCCCCTGAGCGCGGCGATCTCCCCGTCCAGCTCTCCGAGGTTCCGCGTCAGCGCCGCCACCTCCTCGGCCCTGCGTGCGCCCCTCGCGCCGTCGACCATGCCCTGCACCAGGAACCGCTGCTCCTCGAGCACCACCAGCTTCTCGCGCACCTCCTTCTCCTCCAGCTCGAGCGCCGTCGCCGACGCCGACCCCGCCGACGCCTCGCTCGCGCCGCCCAGGCTCGCCGTCTCCGCGTCGCCGCCCACCGACGACGACCCGGCCGACTCGCCGTTGCGGAGCGGCGAGAGGTGGTGCGACGACGACCCGTTGAGGCCCGACAGGAGACGGCGGTGGTTAGACGACGGCGGGTTGAGCATGCGGGGCACGCTTTTCAGGGGCAGCATGTAGGCGTGGAGGAACGACGATGCAGCCGCGTAGATGGCCTTCTGCAACCTCAGCTGTGTTGGGCTGCTCGACTTTAGGTCCCTGACCCGCCTCGCGGCCATGTCATACTTGGTGAAGCTGCCTATCAGCCTCTTGCGGATCTTTGCCGCCTCCTGGATCTGGTTGTGTGTGGGAGGGGTCTGGCTATGTAGGCCGGTCTCGCCGTCGGAGGCCTGAAGGGCGAGTAGAGTCCGCTGAAACGAAGGCAACAGCAGCTGAATGCCTCGCTCAAACTGTCGGAGTGTCTCGTAGGCCCGCTGGTCAGGCGGCTTGTGGGCAATCGATTCTGAGAAGTCGCGTTTCGAGAAAAGTGTGGTTCTGCAGTCCCGGCACATGCGGATATCAAGACTCAACTGGGGGGCCGTCGCCGAGGATTGCTTTTCCGAGAAGGATGACGTAGGGGAAGACGTCGCTGTAACGGTCAGCATCTAGTCTTTTCACCGGAAAAATGGGGGGTAAACGTGACAGGGCAAGGATGGGACGGGGGGATTTGCTCACGATTTGCAACGTTCAGGCCGACCTGGCTGGAGCAGCCCGTCTGCGGATCAGCGCATACTACCCGCCCGCATATCCTGCAGTGATGCCTCCTGAATGTCCACGACCCAAACTCTTGCTGGCAGAAGGGGCACTTGGGGACCGACGCATCGTCCTCCCACGCCACGACCGATTGCTCCAGCAGCTTCCTCTGGTTCCGCTGCCCGGCTAAGGACGCTACCGGCGAGAGCAGGCCACCCCCTCCTCCTGCTGCTTCCGGAGGTGCATCCACCAGTAATCTCGTCAGCTTGGTGAGTCGCTTCTCCAGCCTCTGGATCTCCAGGTTTTGCCGGTCCACCCTCTTCCTCCGGATGGCAACGAACGCGTCTGTGTGGTCCTGCAGGACTCCGTTGTGGTCGTTATATCCAACTCTCGACTTGTAACACGTCTCACAAACCCTGCACCAAACCCCCCGAACCGGCTCGTGTTGTGCAGACCTGGACAGCTTCATCTGATACATGGTATGCTCCTCGCAGAACAGCCTCCCACATTTCCTGCAGTTGATGCTGCCGTTCAGCGGACCCAGCTTGTTCCCGCATGGCGGATCTGTGCAGACGTCGTTGGCAGTGGGCCTCTGCCAATGCTTCCTTGTGACTAGCTCTTCCGGGTCGATGAAGGGCTCGACGGGCTTTGGGCCAGCGCTGGCAGGGGCATGTAACGGCTGGGACTCGTTGGACTCGAAGACGTCGAGGCCGCGAAGCTTCTGATTGATGAGGGTAAGAGGCTGGAATCGCTTCGCCTTCGAGACTTGCTTGTCGAACCATGTTTTGACCTCGTCCTGCTCTGCTTCGGCAAGCTCCTGGTGTTCGTCGTCGATATGTCTGTTGAGCTGGAGCAGCGTCACCATCTCCTCGTTGCAGATGGGGCAGACGAGCCTGGAGGTGGATGGGATGTCATTGGAGGATCGACCGAGGCGGATGTTGGATGCGAGATCTTGAGAGTCGGGCAACGGACTCGATGAAGGGGGGGATATCGAATTCGGCGAGTTGAAGGAGATAGTGCTGCTGTCTGATGGCTCAAAGGGGCTGGCAGCTCGGGGTCGGGCTGGGTGAGTTGGAGACGGCGGGGCCAGGCCTTTGCCGCTCCCCAGAATCCGGCCTCCCCCGAGCTTCCGGCCAGACATGACGATGTCGAACCCGCTGTTCGGGTCTGGGCTGGGCAATAGAGGAGTGACACTTTCTAGCCATGAACAAGAGACAAGAACCTTCCTGACTTATCGAGCCATCCTGACAAGCTGCCACAGAGGCATCTTGCTTTCTCAACGATGTTGGTTAAAGTTGGAAGAGGGTTTTGGCGTGGCGGTTTGATCAGCCAAGTCCGTAGCACAAGGCTGCACAATTTCCAAGTTCGACCTAGCGCAGCCCGCTAGGGGCGGGGAGTGTGGGGACAGGCCAATTAACAATCTCATTGTGATGTTAGGGAAATACCTATAGAATGCTGGGTTTCGACGACAAAATTACAGTATACTGTTATCCCACGTGCCTCTCAACCTTGGGTTCGTTCGTCTTATCGTTATCGTCACCTGAAGCTTGGGTGCCCTTTTTTATCACCAAAAGCTCCAGAAGCTTGCCCAAGTTACAATTCAGTCTCAATCCCCAGTCAGCGACTCAACCATGTCAGAATCTAAGAGGAAATTCCCCAAGGTCCAAGGCGGAGGCAGTTTGATACTTGCCTGGCAGGTCAGGGACAAGAAGGTCCTCGTTGTCGGCGGCGGCCAGGTATGCAAAGAACATCCGATGACCCAATTTCCCCGACTGACAACCCACACCCCCTTCCCCACAGGTCGCCGCCGGCCGAATCCTCCACTGCCTCAACGCCGACGCCGACGTAACAGTCGTAGCGCCCTCCTCCGGCCTCGACCCAGAGGTAGCGCACCGCATCGCAGCCGGCGAAGTAACCCACGTAGACCGCACCTTCGAGCCCTCGGACCTCGACGACGCCACCTCCATGGTCCTCGTAGCCATCGACGACCCGGCCGCCTCGAGCGCCATCTGGCGGCTCTGCCGCGACCGGCGGATCCCCGCCAACATCGCCGACGTGCCGCCGGAGTGCGATTTCTACTTCGGCAGCGTGCACCGCGACGGGCCCGTGCAGGTCATGGTCAGCACCAACGGCAAGGGCCCCCGCCTGGCGGCGGCGCTGCGGCGGCGAGTCGCCGCCGCGCTGCCGAGGGACGCGGGGAGGGCCGTCGAGGCCGTGGGGCGGCTGCGGGTCATGCTGAGGGCGGTGGCGCCGGCGCCGGCGGATGGCGCCCGGAGGATGGAGTGGATGACAAAGGTCAGCGATGCGTACGACTGGGAGGACATGTGCGAGCTGGACGAGGAGGATATGGGGAATCTGTTGCGGTTCTACCCGTCTAACGAGGTGCCGTCTCTCGACGTGCTGAAGAGCATGAGGGCCGGTGGAGACTATGGCAAGATAGACGTTTTTGATGGTTCTTTTGGATTCAGTGTTGGGGCGTGATCATTGGGGCTCGAAGGGGTAATAATAATACTTGGGGATAAACATGTTGAGTACATGGGCGTTGGCTAGGAAGAGGATTATACCATGGATCTAGAGATTGACTCACCGCTTGGATTTGCAAAATATTAAGTTGTCTCCCATTCCAGGTTTCTTAACTAAGTCATATATCTTAGGTAGGATGGTCCTGTCCTGATATCCTCTGATACTCCCAAGAATACGACCCCTCATGATCGTACATGGATGGCTGTCATGACAGTCGACAGGACAAGCAAGGCGCGTATATATATGTGTGTGTATACTGTACAGTAATGCATGGCAGACATTAGGCCCTCCTCTGTGCTTAGGGAGGGTTTGAAAGACCGATGTGAGGACCTCCCAACAATATCCTGACATCTCTAGGCCTTCTTCAGGCATCCCAATGCAGGAACATATATATATAGATCCAGGGCCGGATCCAATATAAAAAGACAAATACCACAAGAAACATGGAAACTCAGTGCGCAACGCCTTCAACGCCACCCAAGAATCTCCTGACACGAGTGATCTCCAACTCGGCCTTCTCCGACTCCACCGCCCTCGTCAGGCCGTCGAGCAGCGTGTCGATCTCCTTGTCCGGCCGCCGCGTGCAGAGCGAGACGAGGTGCCGGTACTTGAGCTCGACGTCGCGGCCCCGCGCCTTGAGGTCACCCACCGCCCTCTGAGTTTCGTTGGAGCGATCGCGGACGGCATTTATGCGTGCGCGGAGCACCGCCGTCGACGGGAGGGACACGGTCGTCCCGGACCCGCTGGCAACCGCGTCGAGGACGTCGTCGACATCCTTCTCCCAAGCCGCTACCCTGGCCACGTCGAGGCGCCCATGTGCCTGTTCCAACTGCAGGACCCGGTAGTTCTCCTCCTCGCAAGCCCGGCTGAAGTTGAAAACCTGCTGGCGCGCCAGCTGCTGGCCCTTCACCCTCTCCTGCAAGCTCTCAAACGCGCGGCGGGTGTCGCCGACCTGGGCCGACGTGGTTCTTAGTGAGACGTGTAATGCGTCGATCGACTGCTGCTTCGCCTTCAGCTCATTCTGGAAGAGGCCCGTGGTCTCGCTGAGGAGGTGGCCAATTGCTAGAAAGAAATTCGAATTAGAGGGGGACGCCTCATCGGGGAGATAGACACCGGAAGCAAAACAAACTCACAATTGACAACCTCATCTGTGCTTTCCCTCGTCTTCTGGCTCGAGCCTGGGGCTCCACTCCTGTCGCCGCCGTTTGTATTGCCGTTGGCTGCCTCCTCGGCAACCTCGACGCCGATGCCAAAGTCCACCGGCCGCAAACCAGCCCGGTTGGCAATATTAGGGTCAGCACCCACCTCGAGGAGCTGGGAAATGATGCTTCTGTTTCCGATCCGCGCCGCAATGTTGAGTGCCGTGTCTCCGCAGTGATCCTGCGCGTTCACTATCTCGCTCATAAACCGACCAATGCCCATCTTGGCTGGCGCATTCGAATGTGCCGCCCCGCCGCTCGCCCCCGGAGGGTTATTCTGGCTGCTCGGGGCGCTTCCCTGGCGCACCACCCATTCGAGTAGGCTCTCCAGGTAGTACCTGCTCGCCATGTTGCGTCCCTTGACGGCACTCGTGACGGCGATGTGGTGGAGGACCGTCCGGCCCTTGTCATCCCTGACGTCGATGGTTCCGCCAAGAACGTCGAGGAGCTCGGGAAAGGAGTTAAGATCCATCGAATTCGTGACTACGCAGGCACGCATCAATGGCGTCTCACCCGAAGCATTCACCCTGCAGGGGTGGGCTCCGGCGGTAATGAGGACGCGGAGAAGGGGCATTCTTGAGAGGGTCGCTGCCCAGTGCAGTGCGGTGTGGCTCTGGGTGTCGATGGGCATGTCCAGCTCCAGAGGAGTTAAGGACCGCAACATATCATGCTTCGAGTGGTCGTTGGGGTTGGCATCCATAAACAGGCTCATCAGCATGCTGCGCTTGTGCTCCGCGTCTGGAGACACCTCAAATGGCAGGGGTCGCAGAGGCCCGAAGCCGTCATTTGCCGGGGAATTGCTGCTGATGCCGGCTTGGGAGTAGATGAAGGATTCGTTTGGTTCGGTTGGGGAGCCGGGAAATGTGCCAGCGTACATGTCCATCGAGTTGGAATATCCGAAGCTGTCAGCCGGGGTCATGGAGATCCTCGGCCGTTTCCGCGGTGGCTCGGAGCCGTCGCCGTTGATGTGCTGCGAGTGCGAGTGCGAGTGTCCGTGTGCGTGTGCGTGTCCGTTCTGGGTTGAGTAGGCAGAGTCGACATTGTTGTGGCCGTAGTCCGAGGCATAGCTCTGCTGCGAGTTTCCGGGGAAGTCGTCCATGCTCTGCATCGAGGGCTGGCGGTTGAAACTCGGCGCTCTCGACGGCGGGTTGCGGTTTCGTGGACCGGGAGAATCGAACCTTGCCTTGCTGATGGCAGCGACAGCTTGAGAGGCGGTGGACGAGATGTTCTTGAAGAAGGTACCGGTAACACCGTTCGAGCGCGGTTCCGCACTGGCGTTGTACATCCTCTTCCTCTGGGCCGCCATCGCCTGCTCCTTGGTCGGCGTGTCGATATCGGTAGACGGGACTCCATCCTGGCGCATATTATGCGTCAGGAGCTTCTGCAGGAGCTCGTCGACGCCGTACTGGTGGCAGACCTCGAGGCCGCGCTCGAAGGGGATCCATGTCCCCTGATACTTGCCATATCCGCCTTGTACCTTTTCGTGCTCGCCGGTCTGGATCTCCTTCTCGAGAATCTTGGTGCGGCGGCCTTTATCGACGCCGGCGACCTTGAGGATCTGCGTCGCATTGAGCCAGCTGTCGTTCTGGCGCCGCATTATGGCGACCCCGTTGACCTCCATTTCGTAGACATTAACTCCCGAGTAAGTAGCCTAAATGCATCGAGTCAATGCCGTGTCGCCTGCAACCTGGTTTGACAGGCACGAAGGGAGGGGAATGGCCGGTACTCACCGAGTAAATGGGCATGACATGGTCATTAGCATGTCTTGCAACCTGGTGGTCGCTATACTGGCGGTATACTGGTTGGGAGGAAGGCTGGCTCATCGAGAAGGATTGCTGCGACGAGGGCCGCGACTGTTGCGAAGCAGGAATCATTTGTTGCTGCTGCTGCTGCGGCGGCGGCTGCATATTGGGATTGCTGCTGCTGCTGCTCCTGACGACGTTATTCGGGTCGTGCGAGTTCAGGTTTTCGGCGGCTGCGGGTGGTGGTGCAGGTGGGAGAGGGGGGCCCGCGGCGCTTCCAGAAATGGACGCGCGATGCGAGTGAATGGCAGAGCCGGCTGAGGGGAGAGTGGTCACCGTCGTCGAGGCCATCAGCAGCCCATCGAGGGTCTCAACAAATGAATTGTTAACAAAAAGTATTCAATTAGTTCACGTGCTCGACTGGGGCGATTGGGCCTTCGCCGATGGTTTACGATTGTAAAAGGTGGCGTAGACCTTTAGCTCGTCGGTTCGTGGATTCGAGGGTTTCGTTGCAGCAAAAACCACTGCTGCTGGCGGAGAAATGAGGAGACCTGCCCGCCCTGACCTCTGCCTTGCGGGTGCGGAGCTCTTTGGTGGAATTCGGTCTGTGAGCGAGGCGCCCCTGCAACCGCGATTGCGCCCTGGGTTGTTAATAATCCAAGATCTGCCAGGTGTTGAGGCCTGAATTCGACGCTGGAAACCAGGGATATTGAACAGAAGAGGCAGAGCGTCTACAGTACGGAAATCCCAAGCTGATCCTGGTCGTTGGTGATGGCTTCCCTGCTCAGGATGCCAATTAACGGCGAAGGGCGACTTGGACGTGTCACGTTCGTGAATGCGTGCTTTTTTCGTGGCACCGCACGCGTGTCCTGGGCAGGAATGGATGAGGGGTCAGGGCGTTGCTCAGATAACCAATCAGCAATCAGAGTCGGGTCACGGCAAGTACTCCGTACCTTTACCCGGGCGGGTTACGACTGCGCCAAAGGGGTTCTTCGCGATATATGCGTGCCTGTGATATGTAATTATGCAAAGGCTATCCGAGCTGCTGCCCGAATTATCAAAAGCCTACCATACCCTCCCGCTAGAAGAGTTAACTGCAGCCAGCTTGGCCATATTGCTGTGAGTCAAACATACCTTGTGCAGCGTTTCTCTCCCTCTCGCTGGTGTTTCAGCTGCCGCCAGCTCGGCCATGTTGCGGTAAGCGAAAAACGGCATGCAAACTATACAGCGTTCTTGTCCATACCTTGCTATCGGTCGCGAAACGGTTTGGTATGGTTCGCAACCCGTTTGGCATAGCCGGGGTAGGCCGATAATAATCTGTCATGCCGCTCTGTCCACATGTGAAGTCTGTGGTCATACTGAGGGGAGCAAGCGACAGTTTGGAAGTTCAATACGACATACCCTCTGCGGCGTCTGTTGATCAACCTCGGGGAATTTGGTAGAAGTATGCCAGGCCAAGGGTCGCATGTCGACATTTCAATTAGGGTCAAAATAGCTTCACAGGTGATCGCCAACTGGCTTCATGACGAGCCCGGTCCATATCACAAGCTTCTATGTATGCAATGTCCTAGTCTAGACATGGGGTCAAACAGGCCCATCTATATCTATCTCTCGCAACCGTCCAACCAATGCACCTTTTAAGGGGACCACCCCTATTTTAAGAAACAAAGGAAAACCATTCATTCCGTCACATCACGTCACGTCACGTCACGCATCACCTCACCGCAGCCCCTCCAGCATCGCCCCCAGCCTCTCCCACCCCTCGGTCCCCTCCCAGGCCTCCCTCGCCTTGCCCATGACGCTCCGCACCGCGCTCCGCGCCTTGGCCTTCCAGCGGGCACCGACAGCCGCAACGTCGGGCCCGTAGTTCTCCAGCGCCGAGACGAGCTCGTCCGTGCGCTCCACCACGTCCTCCCACGCGCCCTTGTCCTCGAGCCAGTTCTTGCTTTTGCCGCCGTCTGAGGAGGAGGGCGAGGAGAGCAAGGCAGCGCTGACGCCGACGCCGGCGCCGGCCATGGCGGCCCGCCACGCCCGCTCCGACGCGTCCACTGCGCCGGCGCCGTCCCGGCGCCAGGCGCGTGCGCGGGAGATCAGGGACCAGAGGTCTGCGCGGGAGGTGATGAGGGGCGCGACGGCGGTCTCGAGGAGGTCGCAGACCGCTTTCTCGGGGGAGCCTCGGGGGAGGTCTACTACCGCCACTGCTGCTGCTGGTCCCTGGTCGTCGCCTTGGATGTCAGGTCTCGGGCGGGAGAGGACGGCCCCCGAGACGAGGGTGCGCAGGACGTCGGCGTCGAGGGCGTCCTCGGTCGCGCGGATGCGGATGACGTGCCAGAGACCCAGGATCATGTCTGCGACGCGGGGGGGCCGCACGCGCGCCGCGAGGGTGATGACGTTGTCCCAAATGCGCCAGTTGTCGTTTGATATCGAGGCGCCGCGCTTGAAGGCCGCGAGGGATTGGGAGAGGAGGGTTGAAGGGTCCTGCTTCCGGGGGGAGTCTACTTGTCGTTGTTCGCCCGGTTCTTCGCCGTCCTCGCCTGCATCTGTGGTCGGCGGCTCGTTATTGTCGTCGTCATCGTCGTCGGTACGCTTCTTCCGGTCTTCCCGCTCCTTCTCCACCTCGCCCACCCGCTCCACGTACATGCTGTAGAGCGCGGTCCCGAGGTTGCTCCACGTCCTCGCGTCCTCGCCTCCGACGCCATCGTCGGCCGACGCGATGGCCCGCCCGAACGCCTCCGCCGCGTCGGAGAAGTCGCCCAGCCGAAGGCTGATGTCCCCGAGCCGGTTCCACAGCTCCGGGCTTAGGCGGTTCACGGCGACGGCCCGCCTGTACGCCTCGCGGGCGCCGGCCCAGTCCCTCCGCCGAAGGTGGTGCTCACCGAGCGACCTCTGGGCCCGGGCGAACCGGTGCCCGGACACCTCCCAGGCGCGCTCGTAGTGGGCCGGCTCGTCCTCGATGTCGCCGAGGATGCAGAACAGCCGCGGTGCGTTCGCGGGGGGCGGGTTGCGCTCCGGCCCGGCGTAATCCGCTGCCTTCAGGTCTTCGATGTCGATGTTGTCGTCGTTGTCGTCGTCCTCGGGCGCGTCTGCCTCCTTGTCAGGTACTGTTGCGGTCGTATCACTCGTCCGTCGGAATAGGCGCCATCGCAGGACGGCCCGGGCGTTCTCCTCCGGGCCACTACCTCTGCCGCCCTCGTCGTCTGCGGACGCGCTGCCGGCTAGGCAGAGGGCGACCTCGGCCCAGAGGCGCAGTCGCTTGAAGATCTCCAGAGCCGACACGAAGGCCCCGACGCCGATCCACGAGTGCGCGAGCTCCGACTCCAGGTGCCATCTCGGGGCCGACGCCAGGGCGTGGACGTATTCCAGCCGGACTTGCGCAGGAGCGGTCTCCGTCTGCCGAGCCGCTGGGAAGAAGGTCGTCGGCTTGTCGCGTGGCGCTGGTTGGGCGTTGTTGACTGTCGGACCGGGCTCCTCGTCCGGACCACAAACCTTGATTGCCGGGACGGTGCTACTCTGGACCTCGTCGATGGCTCCGTTGGTGCTGCTCGGGGCGACATCCGCGGAGGGCGCCGTGGTGTCAACGATGACCTGGTCCACCACGGCTTGCATCTGGAGGACGCCCCTCTCGACGGTCCGGCTGCGGTGGACCTCTATCCTGGACCGGACGAGCAGTGCCTGGGTGTAGATCTGCCAGTTGGTCGACTTGTCCGAGATGACCCTGACCGCGAAGGGGAGGATCTCCTCCGACGTCAGGCTATCTGCCGGCGAGAAGGCATCCTTCAGCGTCGCCTCGGTGAGCAGTATGATTTGGTCCAGGGGTGACAGCTGGGGTTGCTCGTCGGGGGAGAGATCCTCAAGCTCGGGAGGGATGCCGTTGGGCGTCGTGCTCTGCTCGGCAGTCTCCTTGGTAAACTCAAGTTGTTCCAGAAGGGTATCGTCATTCAGCGCCAACGCCTCGGGGACGGCCTGCGGGCCTTCTGCCGCGCCTGAATCCCCCTTTGTAGTGTCGTGCCCAGCAATAGCATTACTTTTGGCGAGGACAACCAGCTGACTGGTGCTCTTCTGCTGGAATCTCGTCCGCTTCCCGAGGGCGCCGGACAGGGCATATGAAAACCCGTTCAGCTCGGCGGCCTGCTTCAGAGCCGCCCTCGCCCTCACATCCTGCCCCAGCATGATGCACGTGTTGGCCTTCTCGACCAGGAACAGCACCTTATCCTCCACCGTGCCATCCCGCAGGACAGCCTCCTCGACTGCATTTAGCCCCGCCTCGATGAGCTCCTCCAGGCTCGAGACGTCGCTCCACTGCGAGCTCTTGTTGTACGCCGACCCGGCGCCCAGGCTCGGCTGCGTCAGAAGCCTGTAGTGCCACGCGTGGACGCGCAGCCGGAGCCACGCCAGGCTGAGCCGAGAACTCCTGCCTGCGCCCGCCAGGACAGCCGCCGTATCGTCGTCATCGTCGGGGGAACCGCCGCCGCTGGAGAGGAGGATGTGTCGCGCGAGACAGAAGAGCTCGACGTTGGAGACGTACGGGTAGGCGGCCACGCCGTCGACGTCGAGAGACGTGAGGCAGAGGCGTCGCAGCGACGCTAGCGTGCCTCCGGCGCGGGATGCTGCTGCGGTGAACATCGCCTCGACGCGGGCCGCGTCGGCGAGAGCGGGGCCCGTGACGTTGGTCTGCAGGAAGGCGTTGAGGGCCGCGAGGCCAACGACGAGCTTCGCGGCATTGTCGTTACCGTCGTCGTCGTTAGGTGAGGAGGAGGGGGAGGAGGAGGAGGAGACCACCCCCTCGTGCAGGGAGTCCGCGAACCGCTGGATATGCCGCTTGGCGGGGTCGCTTGTCAGGACCCGGTCGTATTCTCCCCATTGGAGCTGGGCTGCCAGTGTGGTCGCCGCGCTTGGCTCCATGGTGGTAGTATGGAGGATGGAAGAATATCGAGTTGCCACTGATCAAGCACGCGTTGTCGACCGATTTCCCGATTTCGAAGGTTTCGAACTTTTTTTACTTTCTTGGGCACAGATACATGGTGGGGGAGGGGCAAAAATAGGTACCTGCATTAAGAGGACTTACATAAGCGAGCGGCTGGCCATTACCTAGGTCCACAGAACGTTGAAATGCAAGGGGAAGTCACCATCATTCGCTGAAGTTTTATGGCTCCTGTGTTCAGGGGAGTGTCTCATGACACCATACGTAAACTTGGTAGTCATACAAACTCTACCAGACATCTAACAGTTATGGGACATTGAAATCACCCGGTACTACTACATCAATAGCTCAGGAAGCATCACTAAGAATGGTAGGAACGGACTCGGACCCCGAGGGAAAACCCATGCATGCATGTAACTCGTACATAATTGCGTCACGACGCACACGCGCTCAGCTTCCCATATCGTGCCAGGCAGCCTCCCCTCCAGCCGTGCCCCATCTATTTCTTACCCTTCTTACGGCTGGGGACGACCTTGAACTGCCCGCCGGGGATCCCCGACTCGTCCTTGTGACCGCTACCGCCGCCGCCTCCGCCGCTGCCTCCCTTCTTGGCAACCTCGCTCCAGCCCTCGCTGTCGTTCTTGCCGCTGCCGCCCGAGGCGCCCTTGGCTGGCTGCTTCTCGATGATGCCCTTGTCGGCGAGCCTCTTGCGCCGCACAAACTCCTCGGCAAAGTGACGTCCGTCCATGGTCGAGCTGTTCGCATAAACAGCATCGGCCAGGATCGACGTGTCGGCAGGGAATCCTAGGAGGTTGGATGCGAAAGCATCGACTGTGGTGGGACCGTGTGTTAGTAGGCGAGTGACAAAGGTGGAACCTTCCAAGATCGGACGTGGGAAGGGAAACTGGGGAGAAACTTACTGTCCTTGATACCGTCCAGGCCCCGCGAGAGCTCGCGGTGCAGCCACTTGTTGAACTCCTCCATCGCCGCGTCACCATTTTCCTTAGCGACAGGGTTGCTGACGGGCTTCGACACGGGCTTCGCCGCAGCTGGTGTGCTCGGCTTCACGATCCCGGAACTCGCTGTGCGAGTCTGGGCTGCGGGGCCCGTGGGGATCTTGACCTTACCGCCAGCCCCGACTGTGGCCCAACCGCCCAAGGACGGCTGCGCTCCTCCGCTCGCCCCGGGACCAGCAGGCGCCACGCTGTGATTTGCGAGGCCCGGCGGGGCCGAAGTCTTGCTAGCCAAGTCGGCGTATCGCTTGCCCATGCTCGATGGAGGTGCCGCGACAGGCTGCTGCACCGTCACCTCCTTTGCCTTGTTCTTGCGGGCTTCCTCCTCCCGCTGGATTTCGGCGAGCGTCTTCTTATGCGCTGCGCCGGAGCTGGAGCCTCCTGCTGCCAAGCCAGGGGCTCCAGTCTTTCCTACCGCGGGCTTGGCGGCCCAAGGGCTGCCACTGTTCGGCACATTGACCGGGGAACCGGTGCCCCACGTGCTGGTGGATGGAAGGCCCGAGGCCACAGACGCGCTCGCCTTCTCCCGCTCACGAAGGGCCGTGGCCTCCTGCACAAGAAGTGCACGTCGAGCTGCGGCAGCCGCCTCTTCCGCCCTTGCCGCCTTCTTCGCCTCCATCTCCTGGATCTCCTTCAAGCTCGGTCCCTTCTGTGACCCGGTGCCGGGCTGGGTAGCCCAGGGAGCCAATGGCGGGGGTTGCGGAGGTTCTGAGGTGGTGTCGGGGGTCCCGGAAGGCGAAGGGGTGTTGAACTGCGTCGGGAGCGTTGAGCGTCCGCGCTGGGCCATCGGGGCCGGCAGAGGCGTGCTTGATGGCGGAGGGAAAGGCATTGGGAGGCCGGGGGTGAACTGCTTGTTCCAGACATCCTCGGTCTCCGCCAGCTTCGTGGCCACGGCTGCGGCCGCGGCAGCCTGTGTATTTTGCACTTGCTGGGTCAGCGATAGCTGTTCCCGAGTCTGAGTCGTGACATTGTTCCCGTCCTGTATTTCCGTCGTCCTTGTAGCTCGCTTGATGATCTCGGCAACCCTGTCCTCAGTCGGTGGTGCGGCAGACGCATCGGTCTTCTCCTTGGTGATTTCCTGCGTCGTACCAGAAAGTCCCGACTTGCCGGCTTCGTCGGCATCCCGCAGGGCGCGAATCTCGTGGAATTCCTTCAGTCGGGCAGAGTAGCCTTGCGAGTCGTTCTGGAGCTGGTCGGCGCTAGGGAGTTGACTCCCCAAGTTCGCATCTGCGGACGGAGCGCCGTGTGGCTGGCTTGGGAAGCCTCCCGTCGTCGAGCCAGCTCCTGGCAAGCCGGCCAGTATCTGCCGCTCTTGAAGATTCAAGTCGTGTGGGAACGCATCAGAAGCAGAGCCCATGGGCGGCTGGGCAGGTCCCTGGCCAATGTTCGAAGACGATTCAAAGAAGCCCGGATTCGGGCCCAAAGAGCTAATTGGTGCTTGCGAAGGCATGCCAATCGGCGATGTCATGCTGCCGAAGCTGGGCTGACTCTGCAAGCTCTGGGCACTGGAGTGGTGCTGGAGAGAGCCAGAAACGCCGGGGGCGCCCTGCATCTGCAGTTTGCCAAAGGTCTGCTGATGCGCGAGGAACTCTCGTTGGCGGGCCATCATGAACTGCTCCTCTTGCTTCCTCCGCTCGAGGTTGTTCTGCTCTTCGGCCGTCAAAGTTCTGCCAAAGCTCGGGAAAGCTCCTAGCAGGGGAGGCACCACACCCCGGGTATCGCCAGGGGAGAAGGGGCCCGGCTGAGACGGGGGACCATGGGGGATCCCGATCTGGGGGACAAGGAACGGCTCCCGAGAGTTGCCGATGCGCCTGATAAGCTGGCCGAGAGGCTCAAAGTCGTGATCCTCAATCTTCTTGACGCGCAGGTCTGCCGAGAAGAACTGGGCCTTATACCAGTCATTCATCTCGAGTCCCGTGAATGGTCCCTGAATTTGGCCCTGGGGATCCAGATAAACCCATCTCATACGATCGGGCATAACCATCGTACGAGACTGAACGCCTGATTGCTCTGTCGACGGTTGGCCGGCCGAGAACCCTGCGGGTGCTGTTGTCGGCGTGAAGGGTTGGCCTTGGGTAGTTGTCGTGAGGCCCGGCTGGCCCTGTTCGCCGGTTGTGAACGGCAGCCTGGCCGACTCCGCGGACGGGAAGAGGTCCTCGAAAACTCCCCGTCCGGACCGCAGGGGGCTGTCAGTTTCGCGTGCCTGGCTACCGATGGGACCGCGACCAATGGCGCCGAGCGGGTTATTCTGTCGGAGATCGGGAATCGAGTCGCCCAGATGTTCCTGATCCTGGGTCTGCATCTGGGCCTGCATGGCTGGCGGGAAGAGAGAGCCAAGTTTGCTACCGCGCAGGGAGCCGGAACCGCCGATGGCGGGGGCATTGGGCCCCGCGAATATCCCACCCAGCCCAGCAAGGCCAGGTGATTGGAACTCACCAACTGGGCTGAAGAGACTATTTCCAAATGCGCTGGTATAGGCAGGCCGCTCGCGATCCGGTGTACCGCTGGACGGACCTGCGGGCCAACCACCCGAAGTCAAGGCACTCAGAGCAGGGTGGCCCTTGGCACCGACACTCGAGGTTTGGCTGCGGTCACTGCCGTCGAAGGCGTTGGCAGCAGCGAAGGCTCGAGAAATAGTGCTGAAGTTGGAGTTCTGTTCAGACCCAATATTTGCGGCGTGAGCCCTATCCATGCTGCCCTCGTGCTCATCTTCTCCACGGTCTGCAGCCGGGCTCTGGAAGGGATTCGTCTCCGGGCTGGCCGTATCGATGCCCTCGCCATGGCCTCCAATGCTAAGACCCGACATGCCAAAATCCCCAGCGCTGCCTTTCACTGGCGTATCGAAGGGTCCAACTCGGTGCGACTGGGGCGGCATGGGCGGCGGGCTCGACTCCTGCGCGCCACCCAAGACGGCGCTACCCGAGAGCTGGTTGTCGGTTCCGAAGGGATCCGTGTCGGTTCTTGGGCGGGCCCGCCACGAACGGTTCAGATCGGGATTCGCGCCTTCGTTGGCCTTCGAAGGCACGCCTTCGGGGCCGTCTTTGGGCATCAAGTGGGCGAGACGACTTCCACCGCCGCTCCCGAATTGCTTGTTGCCGGCAGCAGCCTGTGCCGCAAGAGAAAAGTTGCCAAAATTTCCGACGCCGGATGACGAGGTGCCCGTGTTCGCAGTTCCCGTATTTCCCCAGATAGTAGACGAAGCGGCAAAGCCAGGGGTGCCCGCCGTGTTGGTACGGCTCAGACTTCCAAAGGGCGGGCCCCTAGAGGACTGATCACGGGCATTGAAGTTCTCCTCCGCCGGCTCATCCAAAGCAGGCTCTTTCGCATCGGCATTCTTGCGGCCAAACCACGAAGAGGCTTCGTCCCGCGAAAATCGACTCGTGGCCGTCGGGGAGGTTAGACCGGCGCTGGCGGGGAATGGGTTCGTATCGGTGGTCTCCCTGCGCCGAGTCCCCGGCCTCGACGCCGTGGACGGGGAGGACATGCCGTAATTGCTCACACTTCCGTGGGATACCGAAGCCTTGCGCCCGTTCTGTCCTCCGGCGCCGCCTGGGTGGCTCCCATCTTTATTCTGCTGCGGCAACTTCAACGGCGAGTTGACATCCGAAACAAACAGCTCCCTCTCCTCGGCAGACATATCTTGGAGCCCAATCGGGTGTGTTGTCCCACTCGTATCCCAACAAACACCGGGGTCTTGCGGGACATGCGAGGATTCGCTCTTGCCCCACGGCCGTGCAGAGTTCCCGTTTACATACCCCGGATTCCACGTGGGCTCAAGGAGGTTGGCGAGATCGGGCTGCGCCGAATGGTGGGCTGCCTTGAAGAGCTCCAACAGCTCCTCCCTGGTGTAGCGAAACGTGCCGGAGCCGGGGTGGTCATAAGCAGGTGTCTGTGAGTTCGCCGATGCGAGTGTCGTTTCGGATGCAGAGGTCTGGGGGATGTCCGCTGGGGCCAAGGGCGTTGACTGGTTGAAGGGAGCGTTGGAGGATCGGCGGAATGTGAGGGTTCCATTTGTTGATCGACCGTCGCGTCGCAACCTGCCAAAAACGCGTCAGTTTGTTCTCAGGATCGTGAACCGAGGGAGATTAGGGCTGAACGGGTCCGCGCCTCGTTGTATGCTGCGGGGTCATGGAGCGGCGAAGTGTAAGATCTGGTATGCAAGATGCTATCTCGCCTCCCATGATGATGCACCGCATCTTTCCGCCTGCAGGGAATGGCAATCCCGGAAGCACGATGATAAGATGTGCGGGAAAAAACTCCATTATAAATAAAAATCAAAGAGAGCTTCAGCTGCCAATCGACTCACCATTCTCCGCTGCCGGCACCCCGTGTCGCATCATTTCTCCCGCCTGACCTGCCGTCACGGTTCTGGCCAGAGGCGGCCGAGGCGAAGCTCGAGGGAAGATGGGAAGTCATGATGGCGGTCAATTATGCAGAATAATCGAAACCGGTGGGTATACGATGCGATAAAACGATGCTGGAGGATGGATTTTTTGTTGTGGCTTGGTGCGATGCTTAATATGGAAGTTCAAAGTCGAGGTGTGTGTTGCAAAAAAAGGTCGAAAGCTAGGTCGGCAACCTTGGTTTTTTTTTGCAGAGGTTCGAGATGGGGCGTTGTTGGATGCAAGAGTTTACCAGGTACGACCCGCTTTTCACGTGCCCCGAGCTTGGGGATTTGACCCAAAAAATCGAAATCACCCACGCGACACTAACCATCCAGACCTGAAACCCTACTGGATGATCATCGAAGCAAGCGCTTTTTGCACGTGTCGCACTGACGAGGATGACGAGGGCGACGGTAATTGGGTTCTATTCCACCTATTTTCTCGTATTATCGCTATCTATGTGTACGCATCCGGCATTATCGGTCGGCCCAAGACGAGGTTGGTAGAGAGGGAAGAAACAGAATGTCACGGGCCACTGCCGAAAGAAATGAATAGCGGAACAGACGGGGGGGTTCAAGTAGAGAGAGTGGACCTGCGGCTTCCATTATACCCAAACCAGCTCCAACAATCACGGCCATGGTAACGTAGGTAGGCAGGCAGGCACGGAGGTGCGATGCTCTATACCTAGTCTAGCGCTATACTAGATACCCTGGAATTAGACACGATACTCCTTATACCAGACAACCAAGCCTTGCTCTAAACACATGGCTTTTTTAGCTTTTGGTGTATGACTTCTACCTCTCCTTCTCCCCAACCATCTGTATCCGCCCTTCAAGCTTCGGCGCAATCGCCTTCGTCCACTCGACCTCGCACTCGGCCTCGCGCAGGTCGTCGCAGGTCTGCCCGCGGACCCCGGCGCGGCGACACCATTGCTTGAAGACGCGCCGCATGATGCGCAGCTCCCTCTCCAAGATGACCTGGTCGGCGTCCCCGTCCCCGTCCGCGGTCTCGCCCTCCTCGTCGCTGTCCTCCGCCTCGTCCACGGGCGGCATGCTCCCGCGCCGCTGGCGGAGCTTCGCCGGCGTCCACTCGTCCCAGGCGCACTTGCGCTTGCCGTGGATGCATCCCTCGGCCGTCTCGGCCGCCCCGCACTGCTGCGGCGGCCGCCGCGACGACTTGGGCTGCATCACCGGGTGGCACTTGCACACGTTGGTGACCACCTCGCCCCAGTGGCGGGCCATCGAGGGCCCCCAGTTGGACCACCGCCGGACCACCTTGAGCGCCATGAAGTACTGCCGCAGCATCGTAGAGATGAGCATCCCGCTCTCCTCTGATACGACCTCCTCGCACTCGCCGCCCTCGGGTCGGCTGAGGAGGTCGGTGTAGCCGTCCTTGCCGCGGGCCATGTATCCCCTCGTGACAACGGTGTAGAGCCTCTTGTGGTCGATAGGCTTTCCGTCGATCTCGACTGACAGGACCCGAGACTGCGGTGGCCTAGAAGGATCAAATTTGAACCTGATATTCGACACCTGCGGGAAGCGGCCTAAACATATGATCAGAATCTGCGGGTTTTGCACATCACGTATACTGATGCAACACACGAACCTTCAAGAGCCGGGTATAACGACACGCCATTCTCCAAGGCGCCCCAAATAGACTTCCCAGACGCCTTGATGACCATGACGGGGTCCTCAAAGGGGAAGCAGTCAGTGATGTCCTTCAGCCGTATCGGCCCGGGCGCGTAGATCTGATCGCCGCGGACGGTGCCGCCCGCCATGATGGCGCAGTCGCCCTGGTAGTAATGGCGCATGACGTCGCACACAAAGTTGGCCAGGTTGCTCTCCCTCAGCCGGACGGTCGTGAACCGGGCGTCCAGCGGGGCGGCCGTCCAGCCGACCGACTTCTCGAGGCTCTTCTTCAGCTTCGCCGTGAGCTTGTCGACGAGCTCCAGCGTCGCGTGGTCCTCGGGCACCGACTTGACCATGTCCCGCCGCCAGATGTCGACGTCCCACTTGCCCGGCCGCCGGTCCGACCTGCGGACCTCGAGGTAGCTCAGCTGCTTGAAGTCGCAGCCCGAGCGGAGCACGTGCGTCCCGTTGATGAGGCTGTGCGCGTAGAAGTGGTCGTGGCCGCCGAGGATGAGGTCGATCTCGCCGCCCATGTTCTGCGCCAGCTTGTGGTCGTTGGGCTCGCGCATGTGCGTCAGCGCAATCACAATATCGGCCCCCGCGGCCCGCAGTTGCGGCACCAGCTCCTTCGCCACCGCCGTCGCGGAGCGGTAGATGAGGTTCGGCGGGAGTGCGTTGATCGTCTCGAGCCACTCGCGCTCCCCGAGCCCGATCAGCCCGATCTTGAGCCCGTTCGACGCCGTCAGCATGTGCGTCCGCTGCGCGTTCCCGATCGGCACGTCCTCGCCCAGGTCCGGGTCGAGGACGTTGGCGAGCAGCCAGGGGAAGTCGCACTTGGATGTCAGATAGCGAAACTGCTTTACTCCGAAATCGAGATCGTGGTTCTAGACCCGTCGCTGTCAGCATCTCGTAACGTAAAGACCACGGGGGCCTCGCCCGGATCACGACCTACCCCGACGCAGGCGCAGTCGGTCCCAATGCTGTTAAGGATGGGAACCATGTGCCGGCCTGTCGATGTTGTGTGAGCACGATTGAAGTGTAATGTGGAATGGGTGATGGGTGGTCAGGGGGGAGCAAACCCTTTGTGATAGAGCTCTCCAAGCTGGGGTTGAAGACATCGCCGGAGAAGAGGGTGATGAGCTCAGGCTGGCCTGCGAATCTCTTGTCGTCGCGGTATTCTCTGCAGACCGTGATGAACCGGGCCACGCCGCCTACGGGCTCGGCCGATGACGGATCCAGATGGTAAACATCGTTGAAGTGGACGATCCTCAAGTCCGGCGGCTCAGACTCGCGACCTGAGCTGAAGGTCACTGTTGGCTCAGCAGAGCCGGGAGCCACCGAGGAACCCATGTCTTCCTACTTCCTGGCCGTCTCCGACTGGGATCAGCACGTTGGAAGGCTTAAATAGTTAGTCGCCGTTATCTAGGCAGAGAGGCACGAGACTTGAACCCCGATTAAGCGATCAATGTGAAAGGAAGCTGTTCTTCTTTGTGGTTGGACAAGGTTCCCCAGGAGGATGACATAACCGCGCAGATAAGAAGGGGCAAAGAGGCAATCGGCTAAGGTTAACTTACTTCCTACCTCTGGACCTATAAGATGCTACAGTGGCACGAAACCACCAACGCATATGAAATGCTATGCTTGTGGGCTGCTGTATGCCCGATCAATAATATCCAACCAACTTCGTGTGGAACTGCAATGCTCAGTGCGATTGCTGATCTGTTGGGTGTGCTCCTGATGCTCAATTACCTAATTTGTTCACCCCGCCACCCAGCGCTGCGGAACCCCGCCAAAGTGGTGGGCAGTGGTGGGGTACCTTACTCGTAGTGCAGTGGTTCCTGTTTTATAAAATTTTGTCAATTCTGTACCTATTTGCCAACCTACTTGCTACAGTGGTTGAGTTCAAGGATATATACATAGAGTACGCAAGCCCCAAACAGAGAGACATGGCACCCGGCGAAGCGACTGTCCGCCATGCAAGGCGGGAAGGTTTGTCCCCCATTCCTCCCCACCAGAAGCCCGCGAACGCGGTGGGAACCACGACCAACAACATGGGCCGCCAGATGTTCCCGACATCCTCCAGCTGATACGCGAGCTCGCCGACTACGAGCACGAGATCGACAGCGTCGAGGCGACCGAGGAGAAGCTCCTCTCGACAATAGCCTTCGCCCCCTCCCCTTCCGGTCCGACCTCGGACTCCCCAGATCAGACCCCGGGCCTCCCCCAGACCGAGCCGACTTCCCCCGCTCGGCCCGCCCGCTGCCTGGTGCTGGCCAACGCCGGCGGCGAGACCGTCGGTATTGCGCTGTACTTCTACAGCTACAGCACCTGGCGGGCGCGGCCTGGCATCTTCCTCGAGGACCTGTTCGTGCGGCAGACGGAGCGGAACAACGGTTACGGGAAGCGCCTGCTGGTCGAGCTGGCGAAGGAGGTCGAGGCTATGCGGGGCGGGCGTCTCGAGTGGAACGTGCTGAAGTGGAACGAGCCGAGCATCAAGTTCTACGAGAGCATTGGCGCCAAGGCGCTGGACGAGTGGGTGGGGATGCGTGTCGACGGGGAGGCGCTGACCGGGTTGGCTCGACTCTTGGATTGATACCATGACGGCTGAGGAGAGGAGACGAGGTAGTGAGGCTGCGGCTCCGGGGGCGATAAGGGGTGTGTGTCGTGGTGTAAACAGGATTGTATGTCAACCGACTGGAGATGGCTGCTTCTTCTGTCCCTTCGCCGGCGTCGCGGAAAGTCTGCCGTCCTTGGAGACTCCCTGGAAGAACTCTGCATGGCCGGCTGTCGGCGGAGAGAGCTCCAGGCGTGCGTTCCCCCACTTGATATTCCACCCATTGCCGACTGGTTTCTTCTCCATCGTTGCCGTCATGTGCCACACGTGTGAATAGAGGCGCCGCCAGAATCGGGCCGTGTAATTGTGAACCTTCGCCGGCGACGAACCGAGCAACGAGCCGTCGTCTACGGATCCGGTCATGAGCTTGAACCTTCGCGAGTGTTTCCGCTCCACCTGCCGGACAGGCTGGATAGTGTACGGGACCCAGTGCCACAGTTGCTCCTGACTTCCAGCTTCGTCGCTAGGTGCAGCAACGGGGCGCCGGGCTGGTACTGTCCATTCGGGGCCTGTCAGCTTCCCAGCTGCTAGGTCCCGCAGCACCTCCCATTCCCCATGCGGTACCGGCGGCAGTACCCTATCAATAAGCTTCTTCCAGGCCTTCTTCAGCTTTGACCTTGCCAATCTCGGATGTAGTGGACGGCCCCACGTGTTCTCGGTGGGAATCGACTTTTCGGGATTTACGTGCTTGCTCTTGAGGACCGGCCGCGGGGAGCTCTGAATGCCGGCCTGGGACTGCGAGGCGAGGAAGGCCCGGATCTTCCCGACGTCCCACTTGGCAAGCCAGTCGTCGGGCCCGTCGGCGGGCTCTGAACCTGACCTGGCCGAGGCAGAATGGATTAGTTCCTGAAGGGCGGCCGAGTCCGCGGGCGGATCCTTGCGAACCAGGCGGTCCAGCAACTCCCGGCGGCGGCGTCCGATACGGCCAAAGGCGAGAAGCAGGACTCGGCGCATCCGCGTCATGTCGCCGGCGTTGGCGGCCCGCAGGTATCGGAGGCCATGGCTTGCCTGGTGCAGGCTCGGGGCCGGGTCGGGATCAGGACGGTGCTTGCGGAATCGCGCTGTGATCCTCTCCGAGATGAAGGGCTGGCAGACGGGTGGGAGATACGAGGCTTCCCTGAGGAGATGTCGATACAAGTGCAATGCACCTTGCGGAACGGGGGCTGGGAGAGAGGGCTTCGACATTGGCCCGACTCTGGCTGCTTCAAGATATTCACGATGTTGGCTTGGTAGAGTTCTGACTAGGCCTGGCAAAGTACGGAATATTTGGATGTGGTTATGTAATCGGTGACAGGAAGTGCACAGTCCACCCTACTCACGCTTTGCAATCCGGCCACTTGGACCATCCACTCTACGCGTCGCGTCTCTCCTGGGGATATAATGACATTAATTTACTCGGCGACTACCTGGCTATCCGTACTACGACCATGTACACCAGCACCCTCGGCAGGAACTGCCACGCAATGCGCTCTATGCCGTGTGGCCAGTTGCACTCGGACCAGAACATCTTTGAAGCACACGTGTACCAGTCCGGCCACCGGTGAGATATATGGCAACAGCCAGCCCCTTGAGGAAGGCCATTCCTTTACATTAGGTTAGGTACCTTACTGTATCAACAGCAAAGGCAACAGTGATCAACAACCTAGAGCTCCTGACAGCAACGACAACAGCTACTGACAGCACAGCAACAGGATCAACTACCAACAGCAATAGAATACAGAGGCTAGGAATACACATGATAAGGAGAAATTCTCAAAATTAATTAAGGTTCGTAATACATTGGGAGAAGGAGAAAGGCCTTTCCTGACACTCAAGTAATGGACATGAATAGAAAAGCCAACCCGAAAAAGTGCTGAAGACGGCGAAATGGATTCCAGGCAGCACGAACAATCGTGCCGAGGCCATGCCACCGACAGAAAATGTGCAGACACGTTTGACTCCACCCAGTTCACCAAGACAAGTAAGAAACGAATAGCTGGGATACGAAGGAAATCCGTGTATGTGACCCTGAGATACCATTCGGTGACCTCTATCAAGATTTTGCGCCCAGTCCGAGAAAAGACGTGATGCAATACGGTGCCAATGAGATGGCAATAAACCCAAAAAAACGCCGAGTAAATGCCGGCCAAGAACATCTGGTCGTGGCCGAAGGAGATGATGACATTAGCTGGGCCAAGTCAGCTAAGTGACTACACAGTGATAGTCGAAGTCGCTCCGGCAGGAGGGTCGCTGCGTGGCCGGGGGGTGGAGTTCCATAACAGAGGCGATGGGCACCAGCGCACAAGATGATGACGACGCCCCTGTGTACAGGGCACAGGGCTGCCAAGGTGACACGGGGAGCAAAGGTGCGTTTTCTTGTGAGGCTTTGCATCTCACCCGCCACTTGTGCAGGGTATCTCTAGCACCGGGGTCCATCGTGACCATGCGTGGAAACATGACATTCCGTCTCGTGTGAATGCACAGCTGGGGCCGATGGCGGTCACCTTCGTTCCTGGCAATGGGGAGCGCAGTGAGCTCGAGGGCGCCATGGTGCGCGTGTGGATATATCGCTGTGGCAGCAAAGCTGTCACTGGTGCGGGACACGCGGGACACGCGGGAGTTAGATGCCAGGGCGCTTCATGTGGGAACGGGATGCGATCGATGGTGCTTCAAGCCGTGAATAGCGCCACGCCGATGGAGTGTCGTATTGACGGTATGGCCCGCCATTGCGCACCCGTGAGACAGAGGCTCCTGTCAGGCAATCAGAAGACAGGCCCTTTCGAACGACGGATGATAAGTTGGGTGCATCTCCCACAAAATGGTCGGCGCACAGGGTCGCATCCGGGCAGGGATCTGTGGGCAGGGGTGGTGTGTAAGGGGTGGCGATAAGGGGGCTGAATGCCAGGCGCAGCCAGATGATATGCATTATGCAAGTCGATGCTCCCGTGCGCCTCGAACATGCACCATCTTCGATATCAGGCAACTCTTTGGGCAACGCGGGAATACCAGGCGACACACCCAACCCACGAAGGAAGGTGCAGGGGTGCGGGGTTGGTCCTTGGCCGGGACGGTGGATGCGGAATGTTGCTGTGTGGACCGGACAAGATTGGCTCCCCCGTTGCTGCATGCAGAGAGGGACGTAAGATCCGAGATTCGCAGATTCGCAACGGGAAAAAAAAACCCTCGAACTTGCAGATATCGAGAGATCGTCCGAGTAGGCAGGGCAGGAGACCTCGGGTTGTGCCTAAAGACTGCCGGAAAGTTGGGGATGGATGTGCGCAACTGTCGCTGATTGGCCGGGACTGGACGGCACCTGATCCCTTCTCCCTCGCACCACCACCTCCCGCCAATGACACCCCAAGCATCCACCACCTCAATCACCACTCCTCCTCCTCCGCCCAGGCGACAATTGCCTTCGCTTCGTTTGGTGTCGGGGAGGCATGCAAAAGACCCAAATCGCCATTTTGCGCCGGTTCACGCGGCTGTTGCGCGAAAACAAAAAGAAGCAATGACCGGAACAGATGACGTCGATGCTTTTCTTGGCGAACTTTTTTCAACGCGTCGCGTCTGATTCCCCACACCCACTTCAATAACCAACTCTGATCGTCTTGTCTCCAACTCTCCGCGGGCTGCGGCTGCTGCCCCGTCGCACCGCCTAGACTCCTAGACTCGCTGCATGGCGTCGCTGTACCCGCCCGTGTTGCCGTATGCCTGCCCGTGCGCCGAGTGGTTTGCGTGGCTCGGGTACCCACCAGCTACCGTGTATCCATCCCAGATGCGGCCATGGTGGCTTTGTGTTACTGGCACCGGGGGTTGGCTGTAACTCTGACCATTTTGGTGGTGATGAGCATGGTTGTGGTTGTGGTTGTGGTTGTGGTGCGGGTGCTGCTGCTGCTGCTGCGGGTGCTGGCTCTGGCTGCCAGATGCCGGCAGGCCATAACCGTAGGGCGATGTCGTGGCCTGGTTCGACCCTCGGCCGTCGTAAGTCGTCGCTAGTGTTGAGAGGCGAAGACCCGACGACGGGCCGGGTGAATGTGTCTTCAGGCCTGGTGATAATGGCCGGCTCGGGCCTGTGCTATACGGCGCCCACGAAGACGTGACACCCGACACATGCCGTGGGCTCGGCAGCGAGTCTGCGTGGTGATGTGCCGACGTGATGTATCCCGTCGCCGTGGCATGGTCAGTGGCCGCCGTTGCCGACCCGGGCGTGGGTGGCAGATTTGGGTACGACCCGCCTATGCTGATGGGCGTCAGGAGGTGCGACTGATGATGCGACGGCGGTGCTGCCATGGTGGTCGATGGCGACGCGCTGTATTTCGAAATTATCTTCTTGAGCGCCTGGCCAAGTATCTTCCAAGGGAACACCTTGACGTCCTTCTCAATGTTGCGAGGCTTGGGGTTGCCGAACGCCATGATGACCTTGAAAAACTCGGCGCTTTCCGACTTGGTCTTGCTCACCGTCAGCGGGTGAAAGCCCTCAAGGTTTCTTCGGATCCGGTTCTTCTCTTCGACGGTGAATCGAGCCGGAGACGCGACAAGCTGCTCGAGCAGGTAGATGGTGTCAACCGAAGTCACAAAACACTCCTGCTTCTCGGCCCACCAGATGCAACTGATGCAGGTGCTGTTCTGGGGCCGCTCGTCGACGGCGACCGGCCGGAAGGACGTCTGCAGCTGGCTGCCTTGCTGCGACTTCTTGAACAGGACTATCCGCCGTCTGTTGTCCCACTCCTCCTGCGTCCAGTTTTCTGCCATACTCTCGAGGTCGCCATTGATCTTCAGCGTGGCCTTAGCCGGGAATATTGCGTACGGGTTGTATGCGCTGTTGCCCGCGAGTCCGGCGCCTGGCGGCGAACCTAGCGTGCTTGTGCGTATAAGCTGGGGCACGCCGCCCGACGGCCTGGGCAGGGGAGTCAAGCTCGGCCGGGTGATGCCTGTGTGCGTGCCGTGGGCAATGGTCGTCGCGGGACTGCGGACGGTACCGATGGCGCCGCCGTAGGGCGTCCAGCCGATGCCACGCGACGATCGCAGCGGCGGCGGGGCACGCGAGTAGTGATCCGCCAGCGTCGAGGTTCTGTACGTGCCCAGCATGCTGTTTGTTCCGTGCGTGTAACCAGCTGCGCCAAAGTTGGAGTGCGCCTGCTGTGCCTCCGCTTGAGCCTCGGCAGCAGCGGCCGCAACTGCCGGCGGGTAGCCGTAGCTATTTGTACTCGGGTCTGCGGGCAGCGCGTTGTACGAGCTCGACGGACTCGTGGTGGTGGCCGTGCTGACTGACAGGCCCTGGGGTGGGCTGGCGCGCTGCTCAGGTGACTCGCTGCTCTTTCGCGTGAGCTCCTCATGTGCACTCACGTCACCAGTGCTGCCCTCGGTGCTACCAGGTGCACCAGCCGCGCCATGGGATTCAAGGTAGGTGAAAACCCCGGCGTTGTCGACACGGGCAAGCTCCTCGCCGTTACCGCTCTCGATTATCAGACCCAGCGGCACGTTGTTCGGCGACGGGAAGTTTGTGGAAATGAACTGCGGCACGTCGGCGCTGATCGTGTAGGTACATGCTCCGTTGCTGTGGTGCGAGTCCTTGAGGATCTGGGCAATGGCTCGATGCGAGCCGAACGATATGTACGCGTACGGGCCCGTTCCCGTCATTGTCTGCACGTCGTACGGGCTTGACATCTTGAGCATCATCTTCGTCCCGTACCCCCCCGCATTGGGGTGGCAGGAGAGGATGTTTACGCTGGGTCCTACATTCCCCTGAGCAGCCATGTACTGCCCTGCGGCGCTGTTCGCGCCGAAGGCCATCTGGCTAATCTGCGTGGGCGCATTGTCGGTCTGCTGGGTTGAAAAAGACTGCGACGAATACTGCGAATACGGCGAGTCTGTAAACGCTGCAGAGAGCCAAGAGTTAGCATCGCTGCCATGTCGCCCGACCTGAGATGGCACTTACTGTGCAGCTGGGATGGCTGAGTCTTGTACGTGGTCATTGGCAGGAGACCCGGAGGGGATTCCCCTCGCAGGTCGCCCCTGTCGCCTCGCACAGCTTCCTCCTCATACCGAAGGGTTACCGTGTCGGGCGATTCAAGAGCGTCGTCTACGATGATTGGCCTTTGCGACTGGTAGGCGGGCTGGTTTGGGTGAGACGCATGTTAGCGCGTCTCCATCCTGTTGCTGCCCTGTCCTGGCTGGTAGGGCTGAGGGTTCCGGGCCAACGGCGCAATGAACGGGGCAGATGTTGCACAGCCCACGATCGCCCCAGCTTCATTTTCAACACCACAGATTGGGCGATTGCTGGGGGCGGAGTTGTTGCCCTTCGACACATTGCCCCCGTCATGGGATTGCCCGCGACTGCGAAAGCTGACTGACTCACCTCGAACGCCTTGTAGAGCGACTGCTCAAACTTGGCAGTAGCCATTCGAACTGTCGATTCTGGAATTCGTGCTTGAGGGTCGGCAGTGGTCAGAACTGGTCAGAACCAAGCAGTTCTGAGCCGGCTGTTTCGGGAGTGGTGATACAGATCCAGGCGGGTATTCTGGAGGAGAGACGGGGGTAAGTATGTGTTGAGTGGCAGATGTCTCTCAAGTGTCCCGGCGGGCCCGATCGAGCTCCCGGAAATGATAGACAGGGCAATGTCGCCTCTTTCTCGGAGATGTTCAAGCTAGCATCTGCCTTGCTTCCTTTTTACAGGCCCCAGGCGTGAGACCACGACTCAGATGGCGAAATTAGGGCCGTGTGGGCCCGGAAGAAGAAATGCAAAGGGGTGGAAGAGCGTGTCAACTTACCAAAAAGCGGGAATCTGAGATTTGGATTTGTGGCGGACGAACCACGCAAGATGGACAGGGTGGCTGTTATCTGAGGGCGTCACTCCCAAGTTGAATGAGGCACTCCACCAACTTGAGACCTATTGCTGGTCCCTTTTGACGAGAATGCCTGACTGAGACACCGCCAGGGGAATGGGTCTGATTGGATGTGGGCAGGTTGCCTGCCAACAAAACTAGTGCAGGTCGAGTCTCGGGAACCTGAAGCGATCCAAACTTTGGAGAGAACTAGATCGTTCAAAGAGTTGGGACGACGAGACGCCTAGCAAAAGTCGGTCAGTTTGGGGAGTTCGTGCGTACAATCGCGCAGAGTGCATCGTTTGGAAAGCAAGCAGTCCAGGCAAGCCGACTGCTCCCCCTCCACTCATGTCGAACGGGGATGGGAACAACAACAGCCAACACGGGGGACAAAGGACCAGAACTCACAATCGTTTCCGAGCGTTGGTATAAACCAGGACAAGAGGGAGGACGGATCCCGGGATGGCAGCCGATATTTCAGAAGCCGTGGTTCTCGGCCTGCGATCGTGGGGTTCAAGGTCTGATCGTATGCAGGTATCCCGAACGTGTTCGCATGAGACACGTCGAACAGCTGCAATCAAGAAAAGCAGGCTTCCACGAAGAGTTCGCCAGTTGACAGCATGAACGGAGGGCGGGGCCCGGGACTGGTTCGAACGCGCAGGTATCCGTATTACAGAGACGAACGACGACGGCGAAGACAACCGGAGGGGGGCACGAGACAAAGTCGAAACACCACACGTCCAAATGCTGTTGTCTAGAGCATTAGAGCAAAACAAAGAATAAGGATGTGAACTGGGGAAGAAGAAGTTGTCGGTCAAGTAAGACGATGTCGCTGAAGTTTGGAGACAGGCCAGTGGGCGGGGCTTGTCATGAGACGGCCGTCCGGGAGATGGAGAAATCGGAGCCGCCAAACAGTCAAAGGAATGTTGGGTGAGACCGATAAAAGTGGCATTGCACGGCAGGAAGGTAGGAAGGTGAGTTATCTGTCTTTCTCTGTTGCCCCTCCCTGTTTCCATGTGTGCCGAGGGTTCTTGGTATTCCTTTTGGAGCCGTTCCTCATCTCGGTCGGTGGTGTGGTTTGTTCTTCTGTTCTCCTCCTTACCTACCTAACGTAGGTAGGTACACCTTTGGCTTGCCCCTGCACTGGCGCGCGAACGGTACTGCTGTGCTAACTTGGCAGACCCAGCAGAGTGACAGGACAGTGAGCAGGGATGGGAAGCTGGTCCAGCCGTTGAATGCAAGATTCCATTGTCTCTGAAGACATGCATGACTGCAACTGCAAGGGTGAGTGACCCAGAAAAGAGGGCAGAGGGGTGGGAGAAGGGGGGGTGGGGTGGAAGGGTGGGAAGACACCAGAGAGGGCAGGGCCCGCATAGATGTTACCTACTGCGTACGGGAAGGGAAGGGAATGGGAGGTGGGGGGAGGTGGCCGGACCGCGAACGTTCCATGTCACTGGCATTGCTCCATCGTAAACTACGGTGCTCTGGCGGGCCCAGAAGGACACAAATCTGGCCATGGAAAGAGCAAGGGGGTCCGGACTTGCGCAACAAAAGAAACGAAAAGCAAATAGAGCAAGCCAGGCGTGCAAAGCCTGGCCAGGTTCAGTAGGTAGCTGCACGAGTGGAGAAAAAAAAGGAAAACCCCCGTGTACAGGAGGGAAAGGCAGGGGTGAAGCAGCTTGAGCGCAGGCAACTGGGATAGGTACCTACCTACCTACTAGTGATGCGTGAAGCACAGTACCTAGTTCGTATGTCTGCGGGTTCCATGGCAGATGCAAGCTGAATGTGAGCTGGGGAGGAGCGCCCCAGGACAAGGAGGGTGGGAGGGGGCGTGTCGTTAGCAATCCGATGACAAGCCACTTGCCCGGAAGGGCTGGAATGGAGCTGCAGGGGGTGTCTGATTTGGTGGGGAGCCTTACCCCTTGCTCTACTATTGGTTTGCCTTGCACCCTTGCACGGCGAAAAGAAAAGGGAAATTCATTTGGGGGTACACCTGCCGGGAGATCCTTTCCAAGATCAGCAGTGCCAGGTGCCAGTTCCCCCGCGCCCCGGCACTTTTACGGCTATCAATACGGCACAGGGTAATGATCTTGTCTTGTAGGTAAGGACCTTGTCCTTGTCCGGGATACTGGAGGGCCGAGAGTCGTATTGATATGGATGGTTACCACAGTAGGTACCTATTTACACCGTCTACAACAGTGATGGAATGACGTTCACATACAGTTGCAGATCAGCCGACAATGCAAGACAAAACAAAAGGTGGTGTCGTGGTTGCTCTCGTGTCCGTGCTCTGGCGCTTGTCTGCCAGCTGATTGGTTAGCAGCGACGCCGGCATCTGGTGCAAGGCCAAGGATGTTGACATGATTTGCACCAGGATTGAGCGACATGGGGGCTTGTCCTGGAATTTCATGCTGTGGATGGGGGGAACAACTCCAATATGCCTGCCCAGCCTGGCATTTTTCCACATTACTTTCTTCGCTGCTCAATCCTCTTCAAAACCAGAGCAACGCCCCATTCCGAGCTCTTTTTGCACTAATAAATCAATGGTATTGGTCGTGCCTTGGCGGCAGAGTTGTCCTGGCATGAACCACGCCGTGCTAGCCGATGATGGACCAGGCTAGTTATTCATAGCTGCGGGAGAGGCATCAACGGCTTGGCATACTCTAGTGGCCAAGGAAGATCATCTCTACGGTGTAGGTCGTAGAAGGTGCGGGAGACAAGCCGGCCATCCAGCTTGACGGTGTTACTAAGAATTAGCACTCCAGCGGTGGTGCTGTGTGCACTCCCAGCCAAACTTACGTCGCCTGGGTGGTACGCGTCTCCATCGGGGCGCTTTGTGCACAGCCCCGCCAGTAGAGAAGCGCGGTTATGCATGTCGGTGAACTTGGAGCTGGGACGGACGTTCATGATTATCTAGGCCACGTACAGTGCGTTATTAAACGGTGCAAGTGACCTGAATGAGAGCATTTTCGTCCGCAGAAGCAAAAGTCCTCCTGGGCCTGTTTCCGCACTGGTAGGCCTCGAAGGCAACTCGGAAAGAAACCTACGAATACAACAAATTGTACCGGTGGGGTCAAGGAAAAAGGACAGAAATAAACATATTACACATAGAACAACGCCTTACTTCGCCCCTGGGGTCAATTGAAGAAAGGGCGGCGTCGACCGAGGGAATGGCCCGAGGGCCCGAGCCATGCGCGGGACGCCGAATTAGGTAGTCCATCACCGCACTAGGGCCTGTCGGTACTCACGGGAGTGGGAAATGTCAACCTGGACCTAACCTACCTTCTTGTACCTGGACTTCCAGGCTTGAGGCCATGTGACTCGCCACACAATGAATGGCACATGGCAGGACTGGAAGGTCCCATGTCGAGTCACAGAAGGCCACAAATCTGTTCCACCTGCCATTTCCATGGATGCAGGTTCTTCCTTTTGATGTGCAAATAAACAAGTCACAACCCGATACTACTAGAAACTCTAGACGCTGGCCATTTAGGTAGGTAGGTAAGGTATTACTCCTGTCGGAGGTGGTAATCGACGGGAGTATCTCCCTCCCTTGCATCGGAGCCAGAGGCGAAGCGCCTCCAGATTCGGGTTACCTTAGGTAGGTACCTATCTTGCGCGAATCAAGTACCCAGGGTACTTTTACGAGGACACACTGGACCTTTCGTGCCGTTTTCTTTCCTTTTCTCCTTCTTTTTTCCTTTTTCTTTTTCAATGGGCAGCTCTGACACCGCGCATTTTGTCTCTCTACATGTTCATCCAGTCAGTCAAGGAGGAGACTAGGAACCTAGGTAGGAGGCATGGCGTTCTTCGCGTTCCATCATTTCTCCAGCTTCTCCAGGTAGGTTGGTGACTTGCCTTCGCATTGATTATCGATTCCATTTTTCTCTGTTTGGTCCCATCTGGTTCGCCCTGTTGGGGACGACGGGATCGAGCACCCACGCGATGCCGCCAAGCAGACGGAACTTTCCATCCGGGGAGATTGAAATACTGCATCTTCTGGGAAAGGGGTTACAATGTCGTTATTGTTCCTTGTTTTTTTTCTCTTCCGTATCCGGGCCTCCCAATCTCATCAACCGCCCCCACCCTCCAACCGACTGCATTCTCCCTGGATGCAGTAGTATTCCCGACTGGCAACGACAAACGAGTCAACCACGATATTGTTTTGAACGTACCCGCCGGCAGGGACGGAGCAGGTGTAAATACGTACCGTCTGCAGTGATGGCCAAAAGCGTGAAGGATATCTACCACAACGTGGAGAGCGATGCAGTTCGATAGCCGGTCTCACTCAATGTAATAGGTTCAGGTCAAGCCACTGTTTCAGGGCTGCCACCTCGTGGGAGCCTCGTTGTGTCTCGCATGGTGCAAGTTGTAAACCGTTCTCCCACAGGCAGGTGGTAGGTATTACCGAACACTTCCCAGGGTCGAGTTTTCCCATTCATGGCATTCGAAAATCATGTTAATTACCATCGTACCCTCACCAATAATAGCAAGTGCTACTAGCGTTGCATGTTCATCAACCCACGCTTCAGGGGAGTTCACTGTCACCTGGACGTAAACCAACGGATCAGACTCTTGGGTACGGGTGGTCTCCCTAATAGATGCACTCTGCCGCCATCCGACTTCATCTTGGTGTTTCCCCGATTCTGCAAAGACGCGTGTACTTCGAGATGATGATGGCTGACCAGTGAATTTTCTGTGCGATGTGCAGCCCTACGCCCGTATGCAACACCGGACGAGAGAGGTAACAAGTGGTGAAACCCCAGGCATCGAGGATTGGGCGACGCATGTTGATGACGCCTGATCATCGCGAGATCGATGCTTCCTCGGTGGCAATCGGAGGATGTGTGTTCCCACTGTCCCAGTCGAGATTGTCGCATCTCAAATCTGCTGGAACCATCTCCCAACTGTGGATGGAGCTTTTCCTAGGTAGTGAGGAAGCCGGAGTCATGGATCTCCTGGGCACGGCAGGTTTGCAATACCATCCCGAGATGGAGTGCCTTTATCAAACACATGTTCTTGGACGTCGAGTCGCTTCCGGCCTTGCCTAGGTAGGTACCTAGAGAGTGCTGTCGTTTGACAAATATAATAAGCCAACAACAGGTGCTATGCTTTGCCCAAAGTCCCCATGGACGATAGCATGATGTTCGCACCGGATCGGTTTTCCACTTGGGTGAGGGAAGGGCAACAGGGAATATGCTGGTATTTAGGAGAACGTCCCGCCAATGGCAGCAAATGGACAGGGATTCCCGTGATGATACAGGTACTTCGCATTGGGGCGGGCACCCCTGCTCAAGTCATGCAGTTCTGCAAACAGGAAACTCCGACCGCTAGGTATCACTTGCCCAATGCAAAACAAGTAGGTACTCCAGGAGGCGCCTGGATCTGGAATCTGGCAGCTCAGCAGACGAATCTTGCCCGCCGAGATACGGTGCAACTCCACATCGCTCTTAACGCATCCCATCGGGGTTTTCCTGTTTTCTATGGACCACTGATATTATCATCATTGTGTCGTTTCCTCTCGACGATCCTCCAGGCAGCTAGGGCTTAGGGCTTGCAGGTTGATCGCTACCTGCTCAGTGGGTCCAGTGCAGGGCATCGGACGGCTCGGGATTGTCTCAACTCGGTGCAAACGACAACGTCCATCCCATACCTGATCCGGCGGAAACGGTGAAGCGGGAAAGAAAGGCCCTAGCGTAGGCGTGGACGGACTAGTTGTAGGTACCTGGGGTAGCCAGATCGGTTGGTTTCCATTTCGTTTGGACTCAAATGAATCTCTCCTTCACATTTGGAGTGCTCAAAACTGGGACAATTGGTAGTAGAATTCCGGGTTCCTGGCTGAGTGGAGAAGAAGATGGGGGAAACAGGCCATGTCCAGCTTGGAAGGCCCACCAACCCAGCTGCACCTTGTCAGCCGGCGTTCATGGGCTGTACTCCTATTTTGCCTCTCGTTTCCTATTTGGGACCTATCACCACTATAAGTCGCGTCTATTGGCCAATGCGTACAGCTTACTCTGCAGTAGACGATTCTGAGCTTCCGAGTCTGGCTGAGCAAATCCCTGTCGTGCACTTTGGCGTTTGGCTTGCAGCACGCACTGCTTGTGAACCCGAAATTCCACGTCGGGGGGGGGGGGGGTCAATGTATCATCCCACAGCTCGGTCACGTCCAATTTCGCATCTCGGATCAGTCTCTGGCGAGAGTGCTAACCAACAACGAACCAGGTTCTCAAAGGTGGCTGTTATGATCCCCGATCCTAGCGTGGATTGACATGGCGGGCGAGATCTATCATCAATCTATCCCCCAAGCCAGCCGTCGCTCCACTGTGACCAGATTTCGGACTGCGGGGAAACATGGGAAACGAACCCATTGAACTGACTTAAGCTTCACAGACCCTATGTGCGACATGTATTTGTTTGAAACCTTAATCCAAGCCAGCATCCAAGACCAGCAGCATTTCCAACTTCTTCAACTTTGTTGAGCCGTCAACCAGTTGCCGAAGGAAATGCCGTCGTGAGAAATCGATAGACTCAAGCCCAGAACTACCTACTCTGTAGTGTACGCATCGGGCCCAGCCTCTTCCTTGCGTCTGATTCCCCACCGCCCCACTCCACAAATCGATATCCTAGCACGCGAGCGAGCGACCGTGCATCGAGGCGCGGCCCTAACCGGGGAGACGGCGCTGCTCAGCTGGAACTGGATCAACGATAAGAGACCGACCCCGTCACCAGCCATTGACACAGATAACAGAACTCCATATATCCGGTTATTTCCTCTCCCTTTTCTCTTTTCCAGTTCAATTATCAGATGAACGAACCCAAGTACAGGTGCTCTGGGTCAAATTGGAAAGATCAGTGATAGTCGGTGATCATCGCAGATCCCTTCGGGATTTGCACCAGGAATATTGTGTGGATTAAGGGCTAACCAAACACGAGTTCGCACTACCTGCGCCGTGGCGTGACTTTTACGGGCTTGGCCTCGAGAAAAACATGGAACCCGCTGCATGTCAGCTTCTTTTTTTTTCTTTTTCTCCCATAGCTCTAACGTGCTCTCCTCCGTCCCTGACATCGGCCAAGCCTTCCAGCGTCGGTCTGTCACTCGGCCGTCTTTCTTCGGCCGTCTTTCGGCCGTACATAAATGATGAATCGGCGCGGATACGTGTATCCGTTAGGTCATTGTAGCCGATTGAATGGCATTCACATTGCAACCAACATCGGTCACCCGGTTTCAACGGCAAATATACATCTCTCTCGTATAATAATAGGGACTCGCAAATGATACTCTAGAGCAACGCCACGCACGCTACGGCCAAAGCCAGTAGCCCTGTCACGACTGGGCCTGATGGATGGCGCGATCCAACGCCATTGGTCGAGGTAGGTCCAGTAGGTCCAGCCGGGGCAGTCGTGCTCGCAGTTGAACTAGGAGACGATCCTGTCGCCGACGAGCCCCCCGAGCCGCCTGCCGCCCTGGAGTCGTTGAACTTCCCGACGATGAAATCCACCGCGTCCATGGTGTAGTTGGCAAAGTAGGTCCCGTGCACCAGGCGCTCGCTACCGCTGTCGCAGTAGATGTCCCCCGTGTCGCACCAGCCGCGGATGACGTCCGAGTATGGCTCGCAGGCCGACGTGTTCTCGCGCGGGAAGATCTGCGGGGGCCGGCGTCATCAGCATTCCACAGCGAGTTTCCATGTGCATGTGCTGCAACGTGACCCGTCGCTAGAGAACTTACGCCTGCTTTCTTGCTCGTACCAGCGTCCCACGGAACGCCGGGGACATGGCTGGGGTCGCCGAAGGTCACGACCGCAACAACTGTCATGCCAGGTGGTCAGGGTCTTCCGCCATCTAATTACAGTGCAAGGGGCCCGGGGGATCTCACGATTGTCTTTGAAATCCGGTGACAGGTCAGCCGTCGCGTTGAACGACTCCTCGCTGGTGCCACACACGACATCCATAGCGACTTGACCACCCTACAAAGAAAAATCACACCGAGTCAGCCCCGCACCGCCAGGTCATCCGACTCCAGGAATGCCCCAATCCCGCCGCCATCCAATCCCCCCAAGACCGGCTTCCTCTTCTTTTGCTCACCTGCGAATACCCCAGCAGCGCAATCCTGGAATCAGGACACCTGCCTACGTAAGCGGCGATCAACGCCGCCATGGCCGCGACGCCGTCGCCCTCGGACTCGAGGTAGTCGGTCAGCGTGGCCGGGTACTCGACGGCCTCGACGGTCGAGCCGGGAACCCGCTCCGTCACGTTGCCCGCCACGACGCCGATGCGACCCTCGCCGGGCTGCTCGGAGCTGCCGCGCGCCACGATCAGGTGGAGCCCCGTCGCGCAGGGCGCATCAGATGCGGTGGGCGCGGTGGTAGCTGGGGCGCCTGCCGTGGTGGCGGTGGTGGTGTTTTGGGCGTGCCCCGCTGCCGCCAAGACGCCGAGGAGGAGGGCGCTCAGCAGAGATCGAGATCTCGCCATGGTCGGTGGTAGCGTATCGATCGGCGGGGTGCGAGGGAGGTCTGGGACAGGGAAGGGAGGGAGGAGGAAAGGGAGGGGAGAGGGGAATTGACTCGAAAGAGGAAGAGATTCTCTCACAATAGAGCAATAGGGTTTCTGCTGAGGGACATTAGGACATATACTTACGTACTTTCCCCGTCCAGCTCCCTCTTCGTTGGCCAGTCTTTTGCCTACCTAGGGAGTCCAAGCTGCACCAGCCGGGAAGAGCGGAAGTGGCCCACCAGCCCCAGCCCCCGCCCCATTCCCAGCCGGCGGGGAACCGCGAAATGGCTTTGCTTGCCTAGAGATAGGTCCCTAGCTCCCAATTGGATCCCGACCGCCTCGCAGTAATGACGGCGAGACCTTCCAATTCCTCTCAGCGATGCGCGGGCGACCTTCCACATCCATCCACTCCTTCGCACCCCGCCTATCACATGCGGCCGCGGCCCGCCGAGAACTGCCCAACCAGCTAGCTGGTTGCCCGCAATGCTGGAATCTTGTGCGGGGTTCGGGGACTAGTGCAAATAGTTCAGGCCCGAAGAGGTTCCTGGCGTCATGCATGCGATAAATATTTTGGCATTTTGGTATGGACATTCCGTCAGCTTATACAGGTAAGACTGGCAGGCTGTATTGTGCAGGTGCTTGGTATTCGTCTAGTTGTGTTGATATCTACAGTAATGATATATTGATGCTAAGCAGACATCATCCATCTCGTCACAAGCCACTTTCAAGTGCCTCTTCAGTGATAGATATCCAATTCGGTCGCCGAAAAATACATAACTCATTCACACCGAGAACCCCCCAGGCACGCGACCTCATGCCTCGCTAACAAACAGTCCCGCCATGCCCATGCCCGTGCCGATGCACATGCTAGTGAGGAGGATCTTCTTCCCCGTCCGCCTGCACTCGCTCAAGCCCGTGACGATCTGCCGCGCCCCCGTGGCGCCCAGCGGGTGGCCGAGGGCGATGGCGCCGCCACGCGGGTTCATCTTTGCCCAGTCGAGCGCGAGCTTGTCGCGGCAGTAGACGGCCATGCTGGCGAACGCCTCGTTGATCTCCACCACGTCCACGTCGCCCAGCGTGATCCCCAGCTGCGACAGCAGCTTCGGGATCGCCACCGTCGGGCCGATGCCCATGATCCGTGGTGCGAGGCCGGCCACCGTCGTGGCGACGTACTTGGCTACGATGGGCTGGCCGAGCTTGATGGCCGTTGAGCGCTTCATCAGTAGGACGGCGGCGGCTGGAGAGAGAGAGAGAGAGGGTATGTTAGCTTATCGAAAATACTCCGCAAAAGCCGCGGGGTTTTGGGCCGGGGGGGGGGGGGGGGGGGGGGGGGGGGGGCACGGCTAACAAAACCAGCAGGCGGGTGTGGGGGTAGACATAAGCGGCGGCGGTGCGCCACCCCCCCCCGGCCGCCGCAGCG